TTGTGTTGAGCGCGAGTATATATTAAATTCAACTCTAATTATGTTTTTTTATATTTTTATTTACGTATTCATCATCGTATACTTCTCTAATAGACTTATCCACCGAAAATCTCACCGATCCTACGGTGCTTAACTCCACACGAATCTCAAAAGATATGATAATATATAAATATAACGCCCACACATAAAAGACACACACAAAAATACCCACCACACATACAGACACACAGACACAGACATACTAGTACATACCACACGCACACACACTACTCATACACACACATAGACACACAGAGACATGCACCACACGCACACCACACAGACACACACACACACACCACACTTTCCTCCTTAGTTTACAGAAAAGAACATTTGAGCCCTAGGGTGCCGAGCGACTTGGGAAAGGTGCTCACTGTGCTAGATCCTGTAGTAGAGCCTTGAACAGGGAGGGGCTCGGCACTTAACTATGGAAAACTCCTCTCAGAGGGTGAGGTCACAGTTTCATTCCCGGTCAGGGGGCCATGCCTGGGTTGTGGGCTCAATCCCCAGTGGGGGGCGTGCAGGAGGCAGCCGATGGATGATTCTCTCTCATCATTGATGTTTCTCTCTCTCCCTCCTTCTCCCTTCCTCTCTGAAATCAAAATAAAAAGGTACTTGGTTTAGTTCCTCAGACAACTGTACAGGGTCTATTTTTCTCCAGTTAACAGTGTGTGTGTGTGTGGGGGGGGACCCTAAGACTGTGTTTGTGAAAGTATATTTGTATCTTGTTTGGTGGATTCCTGCGGGCCCATTTGACCACATAGGGTTTTTTATTCCTCAAAATTTTTAAAAGAATAACTCGTTTTTGAAAACGTGCATGTTGCCTACCTGTTTTTATAAAAATGCCTTTCTCAAATATTGATCTCGATTCCTTTTTCTTGACCTTCTTTTAAAGAGGAGTAGGGATTCCCAAGTCGTTTGTAATAACCAAAACTGTATCAGGAAAAACTCGGAAAACCGGTTATTCGGTCTCCGTGGGTGGGAGAACACAATGGAGATTCAAGTGTAATGAAGGAGATATTTCAGATAAAAACCTGCTGCTGATAATTGTGTCTACCTGACAGTAACATCATCAATCCTGCTTTACCAGCCTAAACAAAATAACGAAGGGCAAAAATGCACATTTCATTTGATTTTTCTGTTTCACATTGTGAGTGAAGATAGAACTGAACTGCATTAGGATTTAGTTGAGAAGTAGCACCTTGGAGAGCCCCGACCCCCCTTTTCATTTGTGATCTTGAATGCTCCCTCGCTCTCCCAACTTTCCGGGCAAGGTAGATACAGTAGAGACCCACATTGGAAAGCCTGCCAAGCTTTAGAAATTACGCAATGACTGTTATTTCCTTCCTCTGAGTCTTAAAAAAAAAACAACACAAAAACACACACACACATTTAAACCTCAGAGTCAGCTGCTTGCTAACCACAAATTTTCATACTTCACCTTTAAGACAGCCTTTCATCTGGACTCAGCGAAATTCCCTTGAACTCGGTTTTTTTCATGGCTTCCTTGAAAGTAAATCCTCCAGAGCTCTTTTTCTGTCTCCTTTCATTTCCTGCTGTCAATCTTTCTCCGGTGTTCTATTTCTTTCCCCTCCAGGACCTCTTCCTTAGCAGTCCTGCCTGTTGTCAGGTTTAAATGTCTATGTGTGGGACTCAGACCTATTTTTCCACTCACCTCTCTTCTCCAAGACTCAGAGATGGAATTTCGCTGCTTGAATAATGCCATCCAGGCAACAAATGCTTGCTGAGGGCCTACTGTGGGCAGACATGGTACTAGGTGCTGGGGATAGGAAAATGAAACAGACGCACTTCCTGTCCTAGAGGAACTCACAGTTCAGCGAGAAATAAAGTTCTAATAATTGAGAGAGACAGAGATAGAGAAAACAGAGGTGTAAGTGCAATGATTAATATTTACGATGTACTATGCCCTTTTGTAAATGCTTTATGCGTATGAACTCATTTAAGTAACCTCACAACAATACTGGGAGGCTAATGGTGATGGTGAAACTGAAGCACAATAATTTGCCCAAGGCCACTCAGCTAGTAAATGGCAGAGCAGGATTCAAACTGAGCCAGTTTGGTGACATTTCCTGGACTCATGTATTGTGCTGTCCTGCCTTTGGTAAGAGTGCTGTCTCTGAATTCAATTCTTTTAAAAAAAATTTTTTTTAATTGATTTCAGAGAGGAAGAGAGAGAAACATCAATGATGAGGGAGAATCATTGATTGGCTGCCTCCTGCATACCCCACACGGGGGATTGAGCCTGCAACTCAGGCATGTGCCCTGAAGGGGAATTGAACTGTGACCTCCTGATTCATAGGTTGAAGCTCAACCACTGAGCCATGCCGGCTAGGCTAAATTCTTGATCTGCCATTTAATATCTGTAATCTTAAAACTCTGTAAGCCCCAGTTTCCTCATCTGTAAAATGGGGTTAATAATAGCACTTACTTCACATGGTTATTTTGAAGAGTAAAAGGAACCTAGCACATGCTTGGCACTCAGCCTGCATTTAAAAAATGTTAGCTATCATTATCATCATCATTATTATTGTTGTTGTTGAAATATAAAATACTGTATAATGGCCCTAGCCCATTTGGTTCAGTGGATAGAGCATCAACCTGTGAACTGAAGGTTTCCCGGGGTTCGATTCCAGTCAAGGGCACATGCCCGGGTTGTGGCTTGATCCCCAGTAGGGGGCATGCAGGAAGCAGCGGGTCAATAATTCTCTCTCATCGTTGATGTTTCTCTCTCTCCCTTCTCCCTTCCTCTCTGAAATCAATAAAAAAAATATTTAAAAATACTGTATAATGTACCTGAGGATGTCAGAAAAACTTACATTGAGGAGATGACATGAGAGCAGAGTTTTGAATGATTAGAGTTCTCACTGAATAAAAACTGCCTCTTTTTCTGAGATCCTTGATCCTGTTAATAGTATCATTGTTTTTTTTTTGTAATTACCAAGGCTCAGAGCTTAAGCTATTTTTAATTCCACTCTTTTCCTTTCTTTCCACATTTAGGTAGTTGCCACATCATGCTAATTGTGGGTCCTGCATTTATTTCTTGCCTTTACCACCTTACTCTTTTTATTTTCATTGCCGATAACCTAGTACAGGTTCATTTGCCTCTCTCATAACTAAAGCAGTAACCTATGGGAGACAACATGGTGTCGTGTAGTAGACCACAAGCTTTTGTACCATCCTGAACTAGGCTTGAATCTCAGTTCTTCCATTTAGTCCATCTGATAGCAAATGTAAGAGAAATAAATTTCAGCTCTAACAGTTACAAGGTGTGGGAACTTGAGCAAGTTAGTTCAGTTCCTTAAGCTTCATTTTCCTCAATGGAAATCTCAGAGACTTTTTAGTTTCTCTTTTATAAAACATAGTACTTTCTCATGATTTTTTTTTCTATTACCAAACTATAAACTCTTTTTCTCCCCTAGCATTGGGCCTACTCATTCAATAGTACCATTTCTTGGCTGAATGAGTGAATGGATAGATGATCCTGAAAGAAGTGGGGTCCTTCTAATAGAACTCTACTATCAACAAAAGAACACAGGTATCAGATAAAAAGGAGTGTGATCACATCCTGCCTCTTCTGTCTCTCCCCTTTGTTTTATGAACCTCATTATTTGAGGAGGAGAGCTCGTGACAGATGCTTGTATTCTTAACAAAGAGGACAGCTGGGAAAGGTTCAGAGCAGAAGCTAGAATCAGAAAGTGTCTGTGGAGTCCGTGAAAACTGCAAGATCATCAACTTTGATAAAATGATAGTGCTGATGTCTATATTCCATTTACAGTTTTTAAAGTTATTCTATATCGAAAGATACCTGTGAGGAAAATGCTCTTTAAATTCAAGGAACAGTACTTTTATAAAAAAAATCCAAAATCATCAAAAATCCAACATTCCCTTCAGAAAATATCTATTATGCCAGAGTTAATACTAGAAACTGGAAATGCAAGGATGAACAGGAGCTCAGAGTCTATCAAGGAGTCTGTTAGACCAACTAACTGTAATATATAATATGCAATATAGCAGAGATAGGAACAGACGTGTATGGAAACCCAGAGAAGAGTCATATTAATCCTTTCTGGACTTAGGGAAAGCTTTGAGAAGACATGACATTCAAGATGGGTATTGAAAGATGAGTAGAAGTTTTCTCACAGGAGGAGGCAAAGGCTATTAGGACAGAAATAGTACAAATATTAGATTAAAATCAGATTTTATTTTTTTCACAGTCAGGAAACATGCTAATTTAGCTCAAACTTGATTAAAATATTTTGATCCAGAATAATCAGGTATTTGTGTTGATTTTATCTATGGTTACCTGTATGCTTCTTTAGGAAGAAGGAATCTTCTGTGCTATATCTTTCTCTCACTTGAACAAGCACAGCATATGTTCAACAAGATCAAGTATAAAATGCTGTTGACCAGTTGACCACATAGCCCTAGAAGACGAGCAATTCCATATGAAGACTGCAGTTCTGGGTGTCTGAATGGAGCTATCTCTTAGCATCTGTAAAAATGTATAGACGATAGTTATAAAAATGAATATTTTACTATCAAGACAAAGCAGAGAACAGAGGCAATGATCTAACAGTCTCAAAAACTTATAAGAATTGTCATTATAGTGGAATAATTAAATGGTTTTCCTCTATTTTTTAGTTGGACTGCACAGCAATTGTCCAAATTTCCACAAATAAAGGATCAGCTGGTATTTGCTCATCCAATTTAGATTCCTAGATGGGACCTAGAGGAGAATATGAAAGTTAAACCAAGTGTTTTTTTTTAAATATATTTTTTTATTGATTTCAGAGACAAAGGGAGAGGGAAAGAGAGATAGAAACATCAATGATGAGAGAGAATCATTCATCGGCTGCCTCCTGCATGCCCTCTACTGGGGATCAAGTCTACAATCTGGGCATGTGACCTGACCAGGAATCGAACGGTGACCTCCTGGTTCATGGGTTGATGATCAATCACTGAGCCACACTGGCCAGGCCAAGTGTTTGTAAATACATAGTTGCTCAAGTGATCCTCTTTTCCATATGCTTCTTGTATTAGTTTCCTAGGGCTGCTGCACAAATTGCCATAAACTGGGTAGACTAAAATAACAGACATTTATTCTCTTACAGGTCTGGAGGCTAGAAGTCTGAAATCAAGGCATCCACAGGGCCATGATATTTCTAAAGAATATATAGGGAAGAATCCTTCATTCCCTCTTCCTAGCTTCTGGTGGTTGTCTGCAATCCTTAGTTTTCCTTGGCTTGTAGATGTATCACTTCAATTACTGCCTCCTTCACAAAACATTCCTTCCTCTGTATGTCTATATCTGTGTCCAAATGTCTCTCTTTTTATAAGGACACCAGTCATTGGATCAGGGCCCACCTTAATCCAGTTTGACCTCTTCTTAACTTGTTTACATCTGCAAATACACTATTTCCAAATAAACTCATATACACAGGTTCCAGGTGGACATGAATTTTGTGGGAATACTGTTCAGCCCAGTATCTCCCTTACCAATTTTGGGAAGGAAATTTTGCTCTGCATAATTTTCCAACTGTTCACCTGCAAATAGTTGGGAGCAAACAGTAAACTTTGGTTTAAAATTTTACTTCCTCTTGTCTGAAATATTTGAGATGATAGTAGCTCAGTTTAATGATTGTCTGTCTAGTCAAATATTTCTTTTTGTCTTTCCCTTTTATGTAAAAAGAAATTCTAATTCTTAAATTATTCTACCAAGGATCTGATTGAATGTTGGATGGGATAATTCTCCAGCCACAACCTGTAGGTGGCCTGTAATCACTTTGGCCATCATTTGAAATGTTGATTTACAGTTTGCAGTTTCAGTTTGAATTCCTCAAAATAACACTCTGTTTCTACCTTCAAAGCCTGTCGATCTTTAACAGAAAGTATGTTGGTAATAAGTAAAATTCTCTCCATAACAGATTTTGAGGCTTCCTTTGGAGTTTGAGGAATGCCAGCTTCCTCTGTTAATGATTACATCCATAAGTAGATAAGAATGAGCTTAAGGCATGTGACATTTTTTGCAACCCTCAAGGCTCTTGTGACCAACACATGAGGCAAAAAGCCTTTAACTCGTGGAAGTTAAGAAAGCCATGAAAGAGGCTTCTTAAAGAAATAAAATTTGGGGGTGAGGGGTGAAGGGAGCCTAATATATGGTGACAGAAGATGACTTTGGGTGGTGAGCACACAGTGCAATATACAGATCTTGTATCATAGAAATCCAAACCTGAAACCTGTATGATCCTATTAACCAATGTCACCCCAATAAATTTAATAAAAACAAACAATTCTAAAAGAAATAAAATTTAGAAAACATGAGAAAAGTTGAGATGGGAATAAAGGAAGGCTTGATTGACACAAGGCAGAGACCTAAAATATTTGCCCAGAAAAACAAAAAACTAGTTCAAGGAGGTTTCTGAAAGTAGAGAATCTGGTAAATGTTTCTATATTGGGTTTCTAGTGACTTGGAGAAAGGAGGTGAGACCTGGAGTGAAGAAATATATTGGAAAATTACAGTTAAAAGGATCTGATTGATTCAATGGTCAAGAGTTAGATCTAACTTGAACTGTTATATTTTCACTGCCTAGCTTGATGACGTGCATTCAAATATACTTAATAAACATTTTTGAAGGAAAGAAAACAAAACTGAAATGTAATCACAGGGGGATGGAACCCACCCACAACCTGGGTATGTGCCCTGACCTGAATCAAACCTGTGACCTTTCAGTTTACCTGATGACGTTCCAACCAACAGAGCCACACTGGACAGGGCAATTAATTGCATTGTATTTTTAATTTCAGTTTCCATGTGTTTACTACAACTGTAGAGAAATACAATTGATTTTTGAGTGTTTATTGTATATCCTATAACTTGGCTGAACTCATGTATTCATTCTAGGAGTTTTTGTTAAAAAAACAACAACAAAAAACTTTTGTAAATCCCATCCTTTGAGATTTTTTTACATAGACTATCATGCCATCTGCACAAAGGTAGAGTTTTATTTCTGTTTTGTCCAATTTGTATGCCTTTCATGTTCTTTTCTCGCCTTATTGTGCTGGCTAGTTATTCTTATGTTGAATAGGAGTGATACAAGCAGACATCCTTAACTTGTTTCCAATCTTAGGAAGAAAGAATCCAGTCTTTCATTATTAAATATGATGCTAGCTGTAGGGTTTTTGGTAGATGTTTTTATCAAGTTGAGGAAATTCCCTTCTATTCCTTGTTTTCTGAGTGTTCTTTTTAATATATATTTTTATTGATTTCAGAGAAGAAGGAGGAGGGAGAAAGAGAGAGTACAATGAGAAGAACATAGCATCCCTTTTGTGCTATTTCTGCCAAAGACAACTATCCTAAATCCAATCACAAGGAAATATCAGACAAGCCCAAACTGAGCAACATTCTACATAACTATTCTTTAATCTTCAAAATGTCAGACTTATGCCCTGGTCCATGTGGCTCTGTTGGCTGAGCATCGTCCCATGCACCAAAAAGTTTCCAGTTCGATTCTCTGGGGTTAGGGCACATACCTGGGTTGTGGGCTTGATCCCCTTTAGGAGGCATGTGGGAGGTGGCCTATTGATGTTTCTCTCTCTAAAAATTAAGTTAAAAAATATATTTTTCAATGTCAAAGTTTATGAAAGTTAAGGAAACAATGATTCCCCGATGAAAGGAGACTAAAGAGAGGTAACTGCTACATTCAAGGAGGGATCTCATATTGAATCATTAAGCTATAAGGACACTTTTGGGACAAATGATGAAATTTGATGGGCTGAGGAGCAGATGGTGGTATGCATCAATGTTAATTTTCTGATTTTGATGGATATACTAGGCTATATATCTAAACATCCTTTTTTTGTAGAAAATACATAATATTTGGGGTGATGAGACATCAGATTATCACTTTACTCTCAGATGGTTCAGAAAAAAATCTTTTTGACCTAAAAAACATTTTCTGTAAATTTTAAATAATTAAAATATTTTGTAAATGAAATTTTCCCCCAGATATCCTCTTCCCATTTTGATCACTCTATTATTCTAGTGCTCCTAAACATTGATTAATATATTTTGCATATATTTGTATGAATATCATCTACTTATTTTGAAATCCTTCTACTTCTTGAGTATTTATTTCCTCGATGAGATCATTAAACACCAAAAGAACATAGATTATGCCTCTATTTCCTTTGTAGTTCCTTATGGTATCAAAAAGCTGTTCTTAATAACCACTTATAAACATTAAAGGTTTTGGAGCATGAATTATCTGGATAATTGGATTGCCTCTTTCAATTTAAGTCATGGAAAACCTTTAAATCATCTCTCTGAAGTCATATAATGGATTCAGGAACCAATTCTGTGCTGATGGCTCATTCACACCAATCAGTAGCCCCGATGATTCATAGAAATACGTGTTTTGGTGGAAAAGTGAGTCATTCCACCAACACACAGCTGGACTGTCACGCCCAGAGCACAATGGAAATGTGGAAATCTGAGTGGAGCACAAAGAATCTATATCTGAGCAAGAGTTCACACTCTTCCTGTTCTGCTACATTGTGAAATGGAAATCGTTTCCTGGGAAAACGGCCAGATTCCACAGAGCAAATAGTTTTGTTGCGATGTGTACAGCTGCTAACCACTGTTTTGACTGAGAGTGTCTTGTTTTAAAGATCTGGTCTTGGTTCCAACTGGAAAGTTGAAAGGAAAGGGGGGTGGGGAGAGGCATCCTCTTGTGAGCAACAAATTAGTTTAACAGAAAGTTTTCTCGAATACCAGTTCTTGACTGGTTCAAGTGCGAGAAAGGGAAAAGGGTTCTGCACATTTCTTGCCACCAATGGTGTGTCAACCATTCTGACTTGTCCCTTTGTATGTATGAACATATTTCATCCTCAAAACAACCTTACTATTTTTTATTATGGGAAAGTTAGGTATAGAGAGAATACAATGAATCCCTATGTACCTATCGCTTTGCTTCAACAATGGTTAACACATGCCAACCTCATTTTATCTTTATCTCATCCACTTTCCTGCGGATTATTTTGAATCATATCCTAGATATGATATCATTTCATCTGTAAATACTTCAGTATGTATCTCTTAAATATAAGGATTATTTTAAAAGTATAACCACAATGCCATTATCACACCTTAATAATAATTCCTTGATGTCATCTTCTATTGCTGGGACTTTTCAGTAGCTCCTAATAGAGCCCTCTCCCCACCCCCGGCTTCTAGTCTCAGCCCCATTCCCTCGAATCAATTGTCTTTCTAAAATTCAAATCATTTCCTCTCCCTCTTTTGGTTACAATCATTAAGTGCCTTCTAATCTTTAGGATAAAGTCCAGCATGACTTCCAGGATGCACTGTGACTGGGCAACTTTTTCTTGCCCACCCTCACCTTTAGCCATTCTACTTCCAAACATCTTATACTTTAGCCATGTGGACTCAGAGATCCTCATGCCTTTACCAAGATCTTTCCTTTGTTTAGAATCCCAACCCCCAGCTATTTTTTTCTACTTGGCAAATGCCACAGCTCAACTCTGAAATGTCCCCTGACACCTTTATGTAAACAGAAGTACTCCTTCCCCTGAGCTATCATTGTGTATTATATTTGATGCTTTTTATGGCTGTTATCACATTAACTTGTAGTTGTTGAGCTACATGTCTAGCTCTCATATTAGATCCTAAGTTCCTGATAGCAAGGACCAGGTATTTCCATCTTTGGGTCTCCATCTCCTGGTCCTGGGATGAGCACTTGACAGGCTCTCCATAAATACTTGTTAAATGTTTGTTTTAGTGAACGATGTTCACAATCATTTTTCTGAAGTACTACAAATTCTCAAAGGACTTTTTTTGAAGTATCAAATATTAGTTTCATAGACTCACTGAATATCAGAACTGGAAGGATCTTTAGAAATCATAACCCCCCACTTTTTTCATTTACAGATGAAAAAACTAAGAACTAAGAGAGAGGTGGAGAACTAAGAGAAGAAAAGCCATTCACTCGAAATTACATACCACGAATAAACGTTCTGTTCAACAGATGCTTAAGGTAAGCAGTGATACTAAATTTAGTTTATATGTATTGAGTTGGGATGATGGTGGGATATCCAGCTATGCTGTAAGCAATGGGAGATGAAATCCTGGCATTCAGAGGAGAGGCTGACATACTGGTAAGCAATCACTGCTCTTCCCAGCCTCATGGGATTCAGAACTACTTTAGGACCCTGGGGAATGCCAGACACAGCAGGGACCACCAGAGCTCTGCTTCAGCATGATAGACAACGCATCCCTTCTGATGAGTTGATGTCTCCCTTTCCCTTCCTCTCTGAAATCAATAAAATATATTTGCCCTAGCGGGTTTGGCTCAGTGGATAGAGCGTCGGCCTGCAGACTGAAGGGCATGATAGACAACAGCATCCCTTCTGATGAGTTGATGTCTGACTGTGCCACTGGATTTAAATATTTTTAACATTTAAAGGACCAGAGGCCTGATGTTAGAGTCACTGCAAAGAGGATTCCAAAAAAGAAGATGAAAAGAAAAGAGGGAAAGTGACTGGAACCAGAGCAGAGGGCTGGAGACAGAACCCATGTTAAATACCTACATTAAGAAAGTAGCACAGGACTAGTCAATGTGGTTCAGTGGTTGAGCACCGACCCATGAACCAGGAGCTCAATGTTCAATTCCCAGTCAGGACACATGCCTGTGTTGCAGGCTTGATCCCCAGTAGGAGGCGTGCAGGAAGTGATCAGTGATTCTCTCTCATTATTGATGTTTCCCTCTCTCCCTTCCTCTCTCTGAAATCAATTTTTTTTAAAGTAGAAAAAAAAAGAAAGAAAAATAGCATGAATATTCATAGCAGGATTATTCATAATAGCCAAAAAATGGAAAGAACCCAAATGTCCATCAACTGATGAATAAACAAACACCATGTAGCATATCTATACAATAGAATTTTATTCAGCCATTAAGATGAATGAAGTACTGATATATGCTACAACATGAGTTAACCTTGAAAACATACCAAGTGAAAGAAGCCAGACGCAAAAGGCCATATATGTATGATTCCACTTATATAAAGTGTCCAGAATAGGCAGTCTGTAGACAGAAAGTAGATCAGTGATTGTCAGGGGCTGGGAAAAGGGGAATGGGAAGTGACAGCTAATGGGTGTGGGGGTAACAAAGTTGAATTTCTCCTGAGCTCTGTATTCCTGCAAAACATTGAAGTTTAAAGGCATCTCCCCACCCTTTTGTGTTCTGGAAAATAGCTTACTGCAAAGAACCACTCTTCTCCCGGTGAGTCACTGATGCCACTCTTATTTACTTATGACAAAGACAAACAGAGACCCTCCACATTCTCAGTCTTTGCCTCATAAATGATCATTGAACTGCTTGTCCCCGCTGATCACTTCGGAACAAAATGCTTCTTAACCAAACTTTGTTTAAGCTTTTCTTCTTCCTCCAGGCCCCTGATCTTTGGCCTGCTCTCAGCCTCAGCCAGCACACAAGTCCTCCTGAGGATAGGCTGGCTTCAGGGAAAAGTATTCTCTTATCTACTCTTATGTCACCCCTTCATCCATTCCCTGCACCTGGTCCTTTTTAGCTTTGTTTACTCCTCTCTGTAAAAGAAGCCCCCCTTTTGTCCAGCCCTTGAGACACTTGCAGATCTTATGGTCACAGCGCTGTGTCCATTACAATAAACCCCCCTCCCCTGATTGTAATAGTCCCTTCCTCCCAGGCAATAATCCTTTCAAATAAAGTCTCCCTTTGCTAAATCTGGATCTGTTTTTTATTTGACAGGTGTTTATTTTGGGGATGATAACAATGTTCTAAAATTGATTGTGGTTGCCAACTCTGTGAATGTACTAAAAACCATTGAATTGAACACTTTAAATAGGTGAATCGTGTATCACATAAATTATGTCTCAGTAAAGCTGGGGTTTAAAATGTTTTTTAGCAGTTTTGAAGGCTGTTTTTTAAAAAAGGAAGAAAAAAAAAGTTAGCAAATGGGACTAGAAATAAATAAAAATAATACAGCCTCCCAAAAGACCATAAAGAAGACTCTCAATGACAGCAGTGCTAAATCCTGCTGAGTTCAAATAAAATTAGAAAAGGAGAGATCATTGGTAGAATATGGGGTCTATTACTGACTTTTCAATGCTCTTTTGGTAGAGAGAAAGCCAACTTTTTGGATACACTGCTAAAGTTAAAGGACTGAATTGGGGGTAAAAGCCCAGTAGCCGCAGTTCGACAAAACAATTGAATTTGAACAGGAGAAAACAGATGGACCCCACCTTGAGGAGACAGGAAGGTAAAACCAATTATGACTGCAGTTTTTGTTTGTTTCTGTTTTTTATGTGTAGGATAGGAGACCAGTGTATGTTGAAAGCAAAGGAGGAAGGGAGGCTTGATGGCATTTTCATTAATGTATTTTCTTGATGTTTTCTGTGTGTTAGTCTGAATTTAACACTCTCAACCAAACTTGCTGTATGCTGTGGTTTCTAGCATAAATTAGCACTTAACAAGTTTTTTAAAAAATTATTATTATTGTTTTCTGGTTCAGGAAACCAGAAAATGTTTGAAGGAGAAAGGAAAGAATTTTTGAGGAAAAGAAATATACAAACATTGTAGGCACTTTTCATATATGTCAGAGGGACAAGAATAGTGCCTGTAAATCTGGGGACGAACACCTGTGGCAACTGTGAGCCAGCTGCTGGGGACTGGTTTTCTGTGCAGGATGTTTGTTTCTCTGATGTGAGGACACGTAATTCATCCCAAATATTTATTATTTTTATTATTATTATTTTATTGTTTAAAGTATTGCATGTCTCCATTTTCCCCGATTGACACCCCCTGGCCACTCCCACCCCCGAGGAAAAGCCCCCACTATTATTTTTTTAAATATATATTTATTGATTTCAGAGAGGAACGAAAAGGGAGATAGAAACATCAATGCTAAGAATCATTGATCGGCTGCCTCCCACCTGCCCCCTACTGGGAACTGAGCCCGCAACCCAGGCACGTGCCCTGACCAGGAATTGAACCGTGACCTTCTGGTTCCTAGGTTAACACTCAACCAATGAGCCACACCGGTCAGGCCCAAATATTTATTATTAACAACACACACTGTCTCCCTAGGATCTCTCCCAGCATGGATCCAAAACCGAATGGGACATATTACACGTAGCACCCCTCACACCTTGCTCAGTCTTCCTAAATATAAACCAATAAGACTTAAGGCAGAACCACAGTAAGAGATGAGCAATGTCTGGTTACCCACCCCTCAGCCCTGCACTTCCACACCTCTACCCTCTCTCCTCCTTTATACCTAGAGGCCCTCCCTCTGCGAACCCTTCCCACTCTTCCAGAAAGTGGCAAACTTCCTTTAGCTGCTGGAGGACCCTCCACTTTGTATCTGAAACTATGCATCTGCCTCTCCTGCTCTGCTATGAATTCCTCAGTAGGAAGGACTGAGCTTTATTCATCCTCCTTGAAGTCCCCAGGCCCGCAGTTGGCGCAAGGTAAGCAGTCACACTTTGTTGAACACGTGGGCAGATGGAGGAATATGATAGAGTGCTATGAGATTCCAGCTGCTGACATGGTTGCATCCTGGTGTTCTTTTTCTGGGCCAAAGGGTTGTTTGTTTCCACCTCTTTATCCCTTTTACAGTCTCTGCCTCAGCCGCTGAAAGCACGCAATGGAACAGTGTGCCTTTCAGCAAATAAGAGTGAGCAATGGAAAATGCAAAGCGTCAACCCTTAATGCAAGCAATGGCATGCTGAATGCAATTCCAAACGAAGGGAAACTGCTTATTTTCACTGAAATGAAGTACTCTGGGAAGTACTTCCCTCCAGTTCTGGGAGTCCGTGGTGATAAAGCTAGTTCATCAAGGCTTAGCACGCCCCCTGTTGGATTTAGCTGGCATTTAGTAAGAAGAGGACAGGAGAGAAACTTGTTGATACAGATCATTTCTTGGACATAGGTATGTAGGGGTAGGGCCCTTTCTGCAAAATTCTCTGTTAACAAGGCATGAAATGAGTCATGTATTTACTAGACTATCCCTGGAACATAATTTGACTAATCTCAAAAAGGTCACTCCTTTTTGAAGAGTAGAAATATTTTCCTGATGGGAAGTCAAAATGGCATGGACTTAATTCCTCTTAGCAAGCATGCAACCACAAAAATCAAGTCAACCACTAAAATTCCTCTTCAGGCCCCCCCCCCAGGTGAGGTTTAAATTGTAATCTCTAAATGTCCATTGATAGAGAACTTGTTGAGTAAGTATAGTGCGTCCATACTTTGGAATACTGACATGGAACAATCTCCAAGATATATTAGTGACTGGAAAAAAAAAGAAAAATGCTGAGCAATATGTAAATTTGATCATATATGCAGAGACTTCCTATAGAAGATTCCACCAGAAAATAGTAACAATTGTCTCCTGGGAAAGAAATTACTGCAGACAGTGATAGAAAGAAAACCTCTTTTCACTATATTTTTGGTTGCTACTCACTATTTGTATCTTGGATGCTACCTATGGAAATAATCTAACCAATTAAAAAAATGTAACAACCTTATGAAGGTCCAGTAAAATTCACTACTGTCACTCTTCTTTTTTTCTAGAAATCTTATCAATCCTCAATGGAACAACTTAAACTGCCAAAATACATTTTCTTTTAAATTCTAAAATAAATGGGTAATCTTTCAGATCTTAAGATATATGATTTTATATATTATGGGTAATTTTATATATCAGCTATTATTTTATATACCAGTTATAATTTTATATGTAAAATTATATATTCTACTTGAATCACAAACAAGAAAGCCATTTGTTTCTAAGAAAACATCTACTGAAGTGTCGGGGGAACTATTCATTGGGACTAACCCAGACTATCCCAGACAGTGAGCTCTCCAGCTCCTTTCTGGGTTGGAGGACTCTCCAGCTGGGTTGATGGAGCCCTGGGTTCCACCAAGCAGTGTTTCACTCTTCCTAATGATAACGCATGCCAGACTAGCATAGATGTTTTGCCAAGACCATCGTCTATGCAGCTGGGGAAACCCAAGCTTGGTTTCCTAACTAGGGAAAAGGGTTGCAGCTTTTCTGGGGGAAAGGGGGCTGGTGCTGCTCCAGCAAACTCACAGCCCCAGGGCTGTGCTAGAGAGCAAATTGGGGGTTGCCTGGGCAGCCTCTCTTTCCCTGGACTTCTGAGCTCAGGGTCCTCCTTGGTGCTGCTCCTTGGTACTCACTATGGTTGAAAATATGTCGGTAGTTCATCTTCAGGCCCACAGGCTCAAAACCAGCACACGCGGATGGCCTCGTGTGCCCACCCTGTACTGATGAAAGGTACAGTGCTAAGGTAGAAAGTGTGAGAGGAGGCCAGGGACCTGGTTTGAGTGCCAAGCCAATGCCAACCTGCAGGTAACCTCGGGCAGGTCACTTGCCTTTCCCAGGCCCACGTGTCCGTTCTGTCCAACGAGGAGGTGGGAACCGAAGATCTCTGATTGCTAAGCACTGGCGTCTAGGATCTAGAAAGAAGGGGGCATTCCTAGATCCTGCTCTGAGATTAGTGTCAGCTAGGTCTCTGGGGCAGGGATAAACACAGGGAAAGCTGATTTTCAGGGAAAGGTTAGAAGTGGGTAAGGGCTTTACTTTTTACTTTATTGCCTGCTTTAATCCTATTCTGTTAGGATAATCCTAAGAGGAACCTGGAGAAGCTTTGCAGCCCCTCACCACCACTGCGACCCTAACTTAAGTTCCCTCTCCCTTCCTTTCCTGAACAACCCCTCAAACTTTTAGAGCAGCGGTTGGTAACTTGAGGGGGTGGGGTAGTTAGAGGCTTCTTCGCAAAGATTGTGGATAACTTTCCCTTTCAAAAACTGGACACAGACCGATACAACCTTTCGCATAGAACTTCAGGAGCTCGTGTTCCACTTGACTTCCCGCTCTAGAACTTAAAAGGCTGAGGTAGGCTTGCAGGTGAGCAGAAAGAGAGGGAAAAGTGAGCAACATTCTAGGACCTGTTTCCTCTCCAGCTAACATTCCTCCGCCCCAGTCCCGCTCCTACCGCCGCCTCCGCTGCCAGCGGCGGCCCTAGTCTCCGCTCCAACTATTCCAACCATCCTGGGAAGGGTGGGGCACGCGGCTCCTGGGTCCCCCTTGGTTGCACACCCCCCGCCCCAACCCCATCATCGGTTTTCCCTTCTGCCCCGGTCCCTCCTTTTTCTGGGACGGGGCCAGCCAATGGGCGACGAGACTCCCGGGTTTGGCGTGGGAGCGGGGGGAGCTCAGAGATCCCCCGCCCCACAGTTCTGGCCACAGTCCCGGGGCGCACGGACGTGGCTAGAGTTTCCTCCGCTCTCGGATCGCTCTCGCTCTCCTCCCCCCTCCCGCTCTTCCTCCTCTCCCGGTCTCCTACTCCAGCTTCAGCTCCACCCGGCCGGCCCCGCACGGCTCCGGGTCGCCATGGAGGACACCCAGCTCCATATCATCGAACAGCCGCTTTCCGGGTACCCTGACGCCGAGGACCCGGCGTCCTCCCTCATGCAGGCGCCGGCGGCGGAGGAGCCGTCGGGGGCCGGCTCCGAGGAGCTGATCAAGTCGGACCAGGTGAACGGCGTGCTGGTACTGAGCCTCCTGGACAAAATCATCGGCGCCGTCGACCAGATCCAGCTGACCCAAGCCCAGCTGGAGGAGCGGCAGGCGGAGATGGAGGGCGCCGTGCAGAGCATCCAGGGCGAGCTGAGCAAGCTGGGCAAGGCGCACGCCACCACCAGCAACACGGTGAGCAAGCTGCTGGAGAAGGTGCGCAAGGTCAGCGTCAACGTGAAGACCGTGCGCGGCAGCCTGGAGCGCCAGGCCGGCCAGATCAAGAAGCTGGAGGTCAACGAGGCCGAGCTGCTGCGACGCCGCAACTTTAAAGTTATGATCTACCAGGTGAGCTGGCGGGCGGACCTGCCCGCAACTCCGTGGCCCGGCCCGCAGTCTCAGGCCGGGGCTTGGGGGTGGAGGACCTGCCCGCGGCGCAGCGCGGCTCTTCCCCGCCAGCCTGTCCGCTAGGCTGTCCGGGCCCCGGGATCAACCCTCCTGCGGGCGAGCGCAGCTGGGGTGGGGTGGGGTGGGGTGGGGTGGGGTGAGCAGCGGATTCCTGGAGCACGCAGAGGGGCGCACTCTGTACCCCGCATCTCCTCACCAAGCCCCCTCCCTCCCGTGTCAAACACACAGTGGAACCCAGTTAGGGGGCTGGCCTCCGGGACACGGCCCCCGGCAGACAGCTCCTAAGTGGGCTCGGTCAGAAGCCTTTCTACTCCGAGGAAGTTGGGGGGAAGCCGTGGGAACCTGGCGGCTTTGGGGACCCGCTGTACGAAACTGGTGCGTCCTTGTGTTTGGGCCCTGTGGCTTTCCGCCGGAATAAGGGAGATGAGGGGCCATGACTCCCGTGGTGGCTGTCCAGAGAAGACTCCTATCCTGAGCGCTCGCGGTCTGGGCCCGGTCCAAGATTTGGGGCTATCTGTCTCCCGGGCCTTCTCCCCTGCTCTCTGGCTTTTTAGATCCCGGGGCACCTTAGTTCGGGGTGTCCTCATCCTTGGCCACTGGACACAGTCATGCTTGATCGTGGCGGGTGGGGAGGGCAGGAGGGGCCGGTGGCGGGGAGTGGACAGCCCCCGCGGGTCCGGCGGCCTGGGCGCAGTGAATCACCTCGCATACCTGCGGGGGCGGCGGAGGAGCCGGCGCGCTGGCTGCGGGAGGCTGGCGCGCCCCAGGCTCCGCCCAGACCGCTGGGCTGCCAGTGCACCTCTCTCCCCATTCCTCCGGTCAGGATGAAAATGTAGTTTTTTCGTATCTTAACCCCAAATAAACCTGCCCCTTCCACTCCCCGTCCTAAATCCCATTAAGGTGGGCCTCCGCTGAGGGCTTGGTGGTCTTTGCTTGGGTGGGAATGTGCCCGGCCTCACCTCCTCTCCGCTCCCGCAGGCCTGGTTGATGTTCCTACCCCAAGGAGGTGAGATCATGGGGGGTGAGGGGTGGGGGAGAGGAGGGCTAATTCTATTAAAGGGAGTGGAAAGGAAAGGAAGACTAGAGTTCCCACACTCCCTAGGTGAGGAGACCCTGTCAGGGAGCTTTGTTTTCACTGATGACTCTGGGCCTGGTCACCTGGCTTCTGAGTGACCATCTGGGATGCCATGAGGTCCTAGGGTTGGTCTCACTGGAAGGAGCTAAGAAAGATGCAGATTGGGACAAGCAGTTTGGAGACACTGTTTGGAGCAGCTGGGAGATGGGTGAGCTGGCACTTATCTGAGGAGGGGGTGGTAGGACAGAGGCAGAAGTGGCACCCATACCCCCCTGCCCAGGGACTCCTCCCAATAGGCACTTGACCTTTAAAAAGCTCTGCTTCTCCCCAAACAGCACTATCTGATAGAAAATGCTTGCTCAGAGTTGTTTCCACTTGATCTAACTGCTTGGAGGGAGCAGAATGGGTGAGTGTGTGTGTGTGTGTGTGTGTGTGTGATTTTTAAAGAGATCTACATAGCACTGAGGAGCTTCAAGGGACGGAGAACAAGACAGGGGAGCCCGCCAGCTTTAGGTAGAGGTAGAGGGTTGCCATGGAGGGCTGAATAGGTGACCCTCCTCACTTTAAATAGCCTGGGCTGTAGAACTTGGGAAATTCTTGGTTGGCATAAACCTTCCTATGTTAAAGATGGAGATTCTGAGAGGATGGGTATGGAGGGAGAAAGACGTCCTTGCAGAGGCCAGTAGCATCCCTCTGTGACCCCCTCTCAGCAGTTGGCAGGGATCTGTGGCTGTATATTGTGTGTCTCAGGGTGGCTTTGACTGCATCTGTACTAACCCAGGGCCAGCGGGGAACAGAGAGTTGAGGTAGCAGGAATAGCTCAATCTGAGCACCTCGAGCCCCCTAAATGTCAGGGGAAATAACTAAGAACTAAAGTGGTCCCCACTCTGAGAGGAGCTGAGAGATAAGGAAAAGATTCCAGCAATAGGGTGGGGCTCAGGGAAGCAGAACTTCCCTGAGCTGTAGAGCAGATGTTCTAGGTGGGGGCGAGCGGGTGGGGTACTCCCTTGCTGGAGGAAGGCAGAGGCTACTCCTCCCAGAGGTCTGCAGGCCTGGGAAGAGAATGAGGTAAAAATAGCTCTGCGCCTTGGCAGACCTAATAGGGAAGATAGGGGGCGGCAACATTTATGGTAAAACCAGGCTGTTGGGGTAGGATGCTTGGTTTGGAGAAAGGCCTCCCAGGATCGTGTGAGTTCTCCAGCGTGGGAACAGGAGGAGATTCAGTATTCCCCACTGCCGACCTAGGGAGGTGAAGATATGGCAAGGGGGGTGGAGGGAAGCCTGAAAGGGTGGGACGGTCCCAGCTGTGGGATCAGGTCGTCTGGCCTCTCCCACCTCCTTCCTGGGGGATAAAGGAGGGAATCCCTTGCCTGGCCCCACCCTAGCCTAGATTCAGGGAACTCTTAAGTTTGATGATGACATCACAGGTTAAGTTTGCATTTGTGTACACGTGCACACACACACACACACACACACACACACGATTCAGCCCCTCTCTGGCATTCCCCTGTCTGCACTGAAACAA